TAATATCGTAAGGTAATCTATTAAATAATCGCGGAGCACCATACAAGTAATAAATGAAAAAGTGTTGAGAATTATTGTGTGGGTACAATAGCATGCATATTTTTAATAACTCTAAAATTATACGCTTCAAGATTTCTAAACTGATGATAGTCTGATCTGTCGAAAACAAAACTATGTAAAAATATAAATGCCTCAAGGGGAATATACCCAAACCTTATCATTTCAGAAACATGCAATTATCCTAATTGCATGTTTCTGAGCCGTTAACAAATAAGTTATTCTACATTGATATGCACTCCCTGAACAAACTAAACAGTACTGCAACCTAGAATTAAATAGAGCTTGGTAAAAACCAACCAATAGTTTGCTGCACAAAATTGACTCAAAAAATACGAGTGCCTAGTGGTCATTATCAAATATTTTTTTAAAGTATTGGTGTGATCCGACCGATTAATCGTAAAATTTAATAAAATACCAAGATATTTGAAGGTAACGAACGCAATTTTAAAGCAGCCCGCGGAGCAAGCCAGAACAACATTCAAATGAACACCACAAGCATCAGCGGAAACTCGCATAGTATCACTTTTACTACAGTACAAAAGAGTACACTGATTTATGCACAACACCACCTATGCTAAAAACCATAAATTTAGATTTTTCACTAACTAACAACTGAGAAGAGATCCAGCCACCAAGCCTTAACCTTATTTGTCTCCCGGACAAACATGCTGAGAACTTTGTGAATTACACCTCTTAAATTACTTCTGTAAAGCTTTTATAGAAGGATGCAATGGTCAACAATGTCAAAGGCCTCACAAATATTAATACAAAAAAAACAAATCGCTCCAGTAATTATGTATAATACTAAAAATTCAATTAGCCTAAAATGCGAGAAAAACCATAAAAAGACTTACTTTTAACAGAAATGAGAGATATATTCAACATAAAGATAAATTTTTTGCAATTCAAATGTTAATAACCAAAAAAATTGGCTGTACTTATATGCTTTTTAGAAAAAAACAAAACAGCTAAGCTACAGCGACAAGTAGCAAAATAGGCTCCATTCAAGAAAAATTAAAAATTTTTGAAACCAATTTTCTAAATTTATCCCAGCAGTAGCAGTTCACCAACTCCTCGAAATGAAACGAAAAAGAACTCCCGTCAAAACAACTGGCATCCAGAATAAATCTGTAGGCAAATAAGCAACATGATATATTGGAAGCAACGTTCTTAAAAAACTTCTGACTTCTATACAGTCATAAGTATAAATCATCTGCGAATTTAAATTACTTCGTAAAGCCCACGTTCAACGATAAACATAAACAAAAGTGCAACAATCAAGTACGAATTCTCACCTGTGCATTGAGTTCTTGGAAGCGCTTCAGAAAGCTGGGCGTAATTACATTTGCAGATTAAGAAGGATGACCGAGATCTTATTAACTTTTTTATATCTAAAAGAATTTCAGCAAATTTTTTTAACTTGGAAGATGATTTTAATTTGAATTCCTATCACTCTGCTCTCTAACAAACGAAGTGTACCCACTTTAGTTAACAAAACCACAGATTGGATTGGATTTATGCTATTAGACATTAACCTATCTTAAGATTAAAATCTTAAATTAAAATCTTAAATTAGTTAAATCTTTATGCGGAACTGCAGACTAGGGACCAACTAGATTGAATAGGTGAAGGGTTTTACCAAATTGATACAGAAAGCCGACCGGAAAAAAAACAAGGTTCTCTGAATTGAAACATGTATCAAGTAATTATTCTAAGGTCATAACTAATTTAATAGTACAAAAAAGAAGGGCTAGACGTAAATGGCAATAGTCGGGTCAAACAGACAATAAAATGATTGTGAATAGACTTTTTCAAATACTCTCACGAAAAATAGGAAATTTTGAATCGCAGTCATACGAGAATTATATAAAAGGTTTATCGGCAACTAAAGAAACGAATTATTCGTTGCTGAACTATTTACTGATCACTTGGAAGAAATTTTTCAACAAAAGGAACCAATTTTCACTGTATTCTAGTGTTTGTTTTGTAGATTTTGATATGGATGAAAGCATTATGGCTTTATTTGATGAAAAAGAAAATGGCCAAGCGATACAGTCGCTACTGCTCAGATAATAAGGGAATTGCCGAGAAAGGCTATGACATTTTTGAAAAAATTGGTAAATGCAGCAGTTAACCTGAGGTATGAAGGTAACGGAAGTTATTATGAGGTGTGGAAAGTAGCAGAAGTTATTATGATAGGAAAACCGAGGAAACCCTTGAATGAGGCAAAGTCATATAAACATATTTCTCTACTACCAATGATATCAAAACTTTTCGAAAAATTGTTTTTAATAGTAGTAAGTATTCTAGTCCTGTATTATATGTGCTTTATACAAGCTATTTGCTAGATTTAGAAGGTGCAACTTTGGCTACGTTTGCCTATAATACAGCAAAGTTAGCAGTGGGATCAAGGGTTGAAGAATCGACAAAAAAGTTACAGGGAGCAAAAACGTGGAAAATAAGGTTAAATGAAAGTAAATCTATACAAACAAAAATTTTTTGAATCCACCATAATTGAGTTTGAGTGGCGCTAAAATATCAATTCAAAACACAGCGAAATACCTAGGTATGACTTTTGTTGTCAAACTCAGACGGAAAAAACATGTAAAGAAGAAAATAGAATTAGAAAGCAAATGTAGAGAAAACTATTGACTCATAGGTTGTGGGTCTGGATTGCCAACATAAAATAAGGTGTTGATATATAGCCAAATGATAAAGCCTATATGGACGTGTAGCTTGCAGCTATGGTGCCAAAAAAACACACATGAAACAAATACAAACTTTTCAGAACAAGGTCCTTCGTAATATGGTGGGTGCTCCCTGGTATGTGCACAATAGTGATATTCATAGTGATCTGGTAGGGAGAACTAATTCTATTCTGGACTGTGGGCCGTCTCTTTTCGAGATGGCGGGAAGTTCGAGATAAAATTGGTTTGGTTCACCGGAAACTGTATTACCTATCTGTAAAAGAACCACTGGCAATCCCCTAAGCACTCGCAAGATGCTGCTGCACAACACAGCAATGCACTCACAAACTGCTGCTGCACAACACACCAGTGAAGCCCATCAACTTTAGATAGGCAAATGGAGCAATATGTAACACAACAAAGAATTTGTGGACCAAGCTGGACTTGCGTCGCACAAGGAATCTGATATCTCTATGACGGGAGGATATCAGTGCTGTGGTAGGAGTTATGACGGACCATTGTCCGATTAGCGAACGTACAAGCAGGGCGGGCCTCCCAATAAACGGTTTCTGTAGAAGCTGTTGGCACGAAGAGGAGTAAGAAGCGGTGACCCACCTTCTATGTTCATGTCTGGTGCTGGTGAACTCCAGGTAGATTTTTTGGGTCTTATTTTCAGTCGAACTACGCACTTGCGAATGTGAAAGTTAGGGACTGCAGCTGTTTTATAAATTCAAATGAGGGCCTGAAAAGGAAAGCTCCGGCGGTACCACAACGAGCCTAAGTGGCTCGTGTGTACCATTTTGTGGACCGCGACAAGCTAACCTGAACTAACTTATGTACTAAGTGAATGTAAATGGAAGGGATCTAAACCGCTTTTTAAAAAATTTAGTTTAGTTTGTATGGTTTGTAAATGAAGAGATCTGCATAGTCACCTAGATTAAAAAATCATGAAAACATAATTTAAGCTGCATATGGAACAACTTTGTGCTTGAAGGAAAGTTAAGTCGATTCCATATTTGACGCCATGATAGTAATAAAGAAATCAACGCCATGATAGAGTTTGTAAACAAAATGACATCAACTGAATGTTGAATCAGAGTAAACGTCCTTTCCCATCCGATCAAAATGCCACCAATCAATTGTTGCCAGAGTTTGCTTTTAAATTGAAGAGTTAATTTTATTTTGTTAATTTGTTTTTGTAGTAATTTTTGTTTTTTGTAGTAATTTTTATTTTTTTTTTCTGTAAGTATTAAGTTAGTCAAGCGATGCGTTTTCAAGAATCTGGGTATTTATCAGTCATCCGTTTCAGGGCTCAGGCAAATATGCAATTTTAAGTTTTGCAAATGTTTGATTGCTTCTTTATATTTAACTCCAGGATTTGAATATAAATAATTTTTTACAAACTGATTGCATTCGATTTGAATTGATGCAATGTTTTCTTAACATAGATGAATCCACAACAATCACAAGCAAAATCCACAATAATCGCCAAAATTGCATATGATATAATAGTTAATCATTAAAACGGATGGCTCATAAACATTCAGATTATTGAAAACACATCTTTTAACTAACTTAATATTTACAGAAAACCAAAAGCAAAAATTACTACAAACACAAATAAATACAATAAAACCACCATATGTTTTCCGCTCTATAACGAGACCACCTTCTTAATATGAGCAGATTTTCACCGCCCTTGGTCCATTTTTACATACAGTTATGCCTCTTTAAAGAGCACACCTCTACATTCCGTAGGTTACACCATTTTCTGTCATTTACATATTATTGCATACTAAAGAACACTCCATACATGCCCCATTAGCAAAACAGATTTATTTTTGTTTTTATCTTTGCTCGCTTGTTTTGTTTTTGCTTTCTTGCGTGTCTATGAATAAAACTTTATGTTTTAATTTACTTTTATGTAAAATACAAAGAATTTGACAAAATATTTTATAATTTTATAATACGCTTAGGGAGGTTCTACTACGTACGAAAAAATATATGTAATTTTCAACCACACTGTACCAAGTACCAGTATAAAGAAAATTTTTAATTATAATTACTTAAATCGGTCTTTCGCAGTTTACGTAATTAAAAGCACAAAACATCAAGTATCATTTGATAAAATTGCGATTGACAAATAAAAGATAAAAGTATGTTTATGAGCTACTTCCCCGTAGTACTTATTCGAATTCAATTTTCAGTACTAAGGGGAAATGAGGGTTGGAAAATCTACTTTTAAATGCTCACCTTTCTGGATACTCTTTTTTTGTTTTAATCCCATAATTGTAATTTAAATTGCTTTTATTTGCAAACTCATGCAGATTTTCCCATGCTTGTCTATAGTATCTGAAAAAAAGAAATTAAAATCAAATCAAACAAATAAAAGTTGCTATTTGTTATGTTCACCTATTTAAACCATTGGTGGAACTTGATAAAGAACTATCTATCGAAGCTATTGTCTTACAATCAGCCGACCTCTTTTGCTTGTAATGTCGCCTTGATAAGTGCATTCTTAAATATAAGTTCAAATATATATGTATATAAAACAACAGCTATTTTCATGTACATAGTTAGCAAAAATAAAATAAATGTTTATTATTAACTCGCATACGTTTGCTAAGACCAGTTAACTAAAGAAAAGTATATACGTTATAGTCCCTACCACAGAATCAAAAACAAAAAATCATAAACCTGGCTTATTAAGTTTATAATAAACCCATACATTTTTTATAAACTAATCTTTAATTAAATGGAATTTAATTATTTTAAATATTTAAATAACTTAACACCAGCTTTAAATATTTATTTCTCTTAATGAATTAAGAGATATAAATATTTAAAACTGAGAATACACGTCCAGGATACCGAATGCATTACAGCGAAAATTATAACACTGCTGTGCAAAAACAGATTTTCAAATTGTCATTTGTAGCTTATACAAATTCTCTGACAACTGTAAGCTGCTTATTTAATTTGAAAATTCTAATACGGATAAGGAAATTTCGTTAATTTTAAAAACTAAATATGCGGGTGATTCAGCAACATGCAGCAATATTGTCAAATTAAAACCATTTCCGAACTGTAGGCTTTTAAGAAAATTTGGCGAATTTTTAATATAACTTAAGATATAATAATTTTTTTTGCTTATAATTTCCTTTCCAAAAAACAAAAGAGCTTCAAACAAACAGTTTTTGAAAGGACTTTTAGAGAACCCTTCCTTGATATTGAAGGCATTTTCAATAATGTCGAATCGCAGGCGATTAACGGGACTCAGTCCTAAACATTCTTAGAGCGCGCGACGTCTCTTAATGAAATGGCGGGGCATTTCGAAAAAAAAAAAGAAAATTAATTTCTGTTCTCGAACGCGGTAAGATTTTTTTTAGGAGACTGTAAGAAAAACTCAGTACGGCTGGTTCAAATGAAGCGGGAAAAGAAGAGATTCGGCGACACCACAAAAAGCTAAGATAAGTAAGTGCACCCTTCGATGAAATTAAAATTGGGATTCACGACTAATTGGGATTTAATTTCTGATGCCAAACAACTTTTGGAGTTATAATGCTAAACAACTTTTTGGAGTTGTACGGCTGCTACCAGAAAGAGCCAAGCAATTTCAACGACTTTTATCAAACACATTGTCCCTACTAATATATTTACTTGTACGAAATTTCAATTCCCGGCTTAAATTGTTTTTAAGATATTGTCAAATAAATTTTGAAGTTGTGTGGCAGCTATCTACAAATGTAAATTTGACGCTGATTAAAAACATACACTTGTGTCTGTCTCTCAGACCATTATTTCTTAGCGTTGCAAACGGTAAGGCAAATTTAGACCCTTCGAACATACCCTTCGAACATACGTTCGTACGGATATAAAAATTGGTCGAAGATTGCCAAATTTACTTATAAAAAATAAAAAGATTATGAAGAAGTTTGCAAAATGTTTTCGAGAATTAATTTCTTTTTACTATTCGAAAACTTTATTTTTTGAAATAAAACCCAGTAAGAAGGTAAGAAAAATGATAACAAAAGTGTAATAATGTATAAAATGCATTAAAGAGCTCTCCAAAAAAGGTTGAAAAGTAAAAGTAACATATGATCATTGGGGAAAATTATGTTTGGAAAGTCTTGTAAAATTTTACAAACTTATTTAAAAGCATATTTCACTTTCGGTTTCGCGTTTCACCACAAACTCCTAAGAATCAAATTGTTCAACCTACTAATGACTCCAGCCGCCTTATCAATAAAGACTGAGATTTCTTTTCTCCTAATTGTCTTTTGTTTTCAAGGCATAGATAATGTTCAAATAATGAAATATTACATTGGCATAGTTTACCTTTGCCATTTTGTCATATTTTAAAACAGACACTTCAGGAGCTAATGTATTTTTGGAAAATTGTATTTTATACTGTTTACTGAATTATACCTTTTAAATAGTAGCACTAATGATGTTATTGTTGTTGACAACAATATAAAGCCTGCAAATACTCCTACGGAAACTAGAGATGCGAAATTAAGTTTAAATGAACTTTTTGACTGTTTGACGTTGTGTCCTCTAGTATTTACAGTCGTTTCTACATGTGAAATTTGGTTTCTTTGGTGATCATTTATCGCACTTACGCCATTATTCTAATAAAAAAAATTAAAATAATTAAAGCTATATATAGCTAATTAGAGCTTTTTAATATGTATTTAAACAATTTTAATTCTCTTTAGATAAAAGAAATCTGAAAGAACTCAGCGAGATAACATTATATAACTTTATTGAAATATTCGAATTAGTAGAATGATTTATAACCTATTGTTCAATATAACAACTGATTGTATGTAACTTTAAAAAAAAAACCGATTTTGAATTTTTTTTTAGTTAAACGTATTTTTCAAGAAGACAGAACAAATTTTTTAAAAAAACAAATAAGAATAGCAGAACTTTTCACAAACTTAGGCAGCGAATCTAACAATGTAATTTTTGAAAATGTTGAAAATATTTCAGCTGATGCGAAATTGAACCTAAAGCTGAGATTGCAGCAGTTAAGGATAAAAGTTAATTTTGAACTAATATTAACCGACCGTATTGTGTATACAATAGGTAGGTTATGTGATGGCAACAAATTTTGCATATCGAGTTTTCGGTGGGAATGCACTTCTCTATAGTAAGGAAGTGTAAATAAACTATTTTTAGCAACCTGTCAGTCTGTGTGCACGCGTGTATCTCAAGTTCTGCTGAACCGATTTTGATGAAATTTTATATGTAAGTTTATTTCCACCATGGCACGGATTGATTAACTTTTGGGATATATCAGGCCTCGGGAACTGCACTTTTTAGCGGGCCTGTTTTACATTTTTGAACATTTTGAAGAAAATATTCAACCGATTTTCTTGAAATTTCATATATAAGCTTCACTAGACCGACCGCGAAACCTCCTAACTTTTGGAAGAAATCAGGCCTCAGCAACTAGACGTTTACTACGGGCCAAATATACATTTTTGTGTATATAAAGAGAAATAATCAACCGATTTCATTGAAATTCCTCGTATTAAAACAATGAATATTTAGATTTTTTGGAAAGATCAGGGCTCGAAAACTGATCTGCGGGTCGATTTTACATTTTTCACCATATCTACGGAACGAATTGATAGAATTTCTTCAAAATTTGATATTTGAGTTCTGGTTGTTACCTGACGAGCATTTCAGGGAATTCGGGTAGCACAAAGCGAAACTCTACTAAGAGACAAATTTACATTTTTCTAGGAATATTAACTATAAGCTTACTAATGTCCTAAAAATTGGAAAGAAGTATTTAACATTTTTATAATATTCTGTAACACTTTCACTTAACTAGACAATACACATTGCGGTCGGTTATGTGCTGACCACATCAGATTTTTTTTTTATATTCTTTATGTTTAATAAGTTTTTATGTTTGTTCAAAATTAATAAATACTAAAAATAATTAGACACGAATTTTTTAAACCGATTTTTTACTAATTATTTTATTTTATTTGAATCTTATCAATCAATACATTTAATTTGCAAATATTGAAAGCTTATTATCTATTTTATTGAATTCTTAACTCGATTTAAACCACGTAAATCGTGGATGTATTATTAATAACAAATTTTTCACATAAGAACAAAAATATAATATTAAAAATATTATACAAGGTGGTCCAAAACTGGTTTAAAAAAAAAAAAGCGATTTGTCAGACAGAATATGTGACATATACCGTTTATTAAGTAAAGTGATAATTTTATTTTTGTTAAAAAAACTACTGTTTTAAAAAAAAATTTAAATTTTGTAATAGAAATTAAAAAAAACATAATTATTACAAAACTTATCACTTTACCTAATAAACGGTAATTTCAAAACCGTTATATATGTGCAATCAAGAAATAAATCATACTAAGAAATGTGTATACAATGAAAAACTACTTCTATCCAATTAAAATAAAATCTCCAGCTTAAATACTCAAAATTTGAGAAGCATCTTAAAATATATATACATATATTATATATTGTCAGAACTGCTATATTGCATTGCAATATTTGAGCAATTAACCTGTATCAAATAAACTAAGGTTATGGTACGATATATTATATTGTTTACGGTTATCTAACAATTTTTTAATAGATGTACTTAATGTTTAAATAAAGAAAAATTTTTGCAAAATATTTTGAGATTACCTGTATTTTACAAATAAAAAACTTGTTAAAAGTGAATTAAAAATTATACCTCTATTAAAAGTTTTGATTTTGTTTCAATGTTGTTGTTCAAATTAGAAATTTTTGAGGTATTCCTTCGTGAATCTTGATTCTTACTCAATTTGTTGAAAACCTTTTTGTCCTTATGATCATCTAAAAAATATAAAAATAGTTATTAAATAAAATTTACAACTGATAACATTAGAGTTTTATTAGATAAGAAAATTCTTTCCATAATTTCAATAAAGTTCCAGGTATTTTCTGCTTTCACAACAACAACAGCAAAATCACCTGTCTGTACATTATTATATAAGTTTGAGCGGGTATTGGCTAGTTCGGATCCTTGATTTTGTACTACACAAAATATTTTAAAATGATTGACGCAACGAAAAAAACGAGAGGGTTAAGGAATAAATAAGTCGCTAATTTCGTCATTTTCGAAAGTCCAATTAATAATTAGTGGACCAGAAAAATTGTGCGTCGCCTGGAATCAGGCTCTTTTTAAGAAGGGCAAAGACAGAGCCTAATTAATAAAAGCATAACCAAGAAGAATTTAATAGAAAGAGAAAAATTACAAAAAAGGGATTTTTCCGTTTGCTTTCGTGCGGAATTCTTTCATAACATATCAAGAGATTTTTAATTTTATTAACATATCAATTCAGATTATGTATTTCAATAAAGTACATGCCAAATATCTCATACTTCATACATGGTTTGACTTGAGTATGAAACTTTTAATACTCATTATAAGTTAATATTGTTTAAGTTAAGTAAGTATTGATATTTTTGTGTGCCTACCAATTTTACCTCTTGCTGTGGTTTTTACAAAAACATTTTCTTTGGTTGTTGAAGATTTTATGCTTATCTGCCTGCATCCTGGTAAAGAATGATCCCATTGGCCATCTTCCTTGCAAGTTAAAATATTAACACCGTCTAGGATATAACCATCTTTACATTTAATTTTTGCTTTTGATTGATAAAGTGTTCCATTGGTAATGTCAATAATAATGTTCCTATTACCTGTTGACAATGCTTCGCATTCAGTTACTAAATATTTAGAAATAAATAATTACAGAAAGTATATCAAAATTTAGGAATACACTATTTACTCTGACAACTTGGTGGAGGACCATTCCATCTACCATCCATGTCACATTTTAAAATATTTTTGCCTTTTATTTCATATCCTTGGTTACATGAGTATTTAACTATAGATTCATATGTAGTTGTCTCATTTATCAATATAAAAGAACCAAAAGGTATGGAAGCAGGTCTATCGCAATCAATATCTAAAATAATTCATATTAAAGGGAAATCTAAAAAAAAATAGATCTACAGCAAGCGCTATCTAGAAATCAAGAATTATGGCAATTTCGAGTTTTGATTTCTTAAAAATTATGGTATGTAATTTATTTTTTAAAAATAATGTGCATAAAAAGAAGTAATACATTTGAAAATTACATACCCCAACAAAAACAAAATATTTTGGTTTATCAAAAGGAAAATTTTGTTATACACCAACCGTTTTTGATACGACCCACATACAAATCCGATGTGGTCTAATAGAAAATATTTTGTTTCATAAAAGTTAACTAAACTTTAATCAAAGGTTTCAAATGATTAAAATTTATAAGCTAACATAAAAGATTATGAACAACATGACGCGAAAACAAAATTGCATATAAAAGAGTTACTCTTTTAATGAAAGTTTAAAATTAATAATATGATTTGGACATTTGTCAAAAGCTGAAGTTTTCACCTTCAAGGAAGCCTTATTATCTATAATGTTTCCCAAGATTTAATTGCCTATACAAAAAATAAAATGGTATCTCTAAATCCTTACACTTGCATACAGGTGGAAATTCTCCATAAAATCCTGTTTCTAAACATTCTCTAACTGGAGATCCAACTAAAAGATGACCCGGATCACAAAAATAAAATACTTTTGATCCGACTTCAAAACCTTTGTTGGCTACTATTGTTGAATTAGGTGGCTGCTCAGGATTTCCGCACGTACTTGGTTCTAAAAAAAAATAAATTGAACATTTGAAAAGAAAATTGTAGATTTTTTTTAGAAGCATTGTAGACTAAATGAGCGATATAATATGTATATACATTTCGCAAAAGTATAATACAAAACGTATAAAAATAAAATAACTAAGTAAGCTAATGCTTGAACAAAATAAACTTACGATGTTGGCAAATAAAATTTAGTTTCATATCGCACTCCGCAACACTCCATAACCATCCTTTAGAGCCGTCAAATATAGCACAGTCGCCATAACTATCTATATTATTCCAAAAGGATACTAGAACATGTCCACCATTAATCCATTTCCAAATCTTTGTAGTTTTGTTTCGCACCGCTCCTAACCAAAAATGTGAAGACGAACTAACGTGATGTCTTCTCCAAAGTTCCCAACTAATAAATCCTTGCAGAGCCGGATTAATTTCATTGATAAGCGTACCATTTCTAGATTCACATAATGACTGCGCAGAATTAAAACCCAAAAGTTGTTTGTTATAAAACATATAACATTTCCCATTATAAGATGCAGTTGCACCCGGGGGTTGATCTCTAAATATGGGACACCTTTCAATGGGCAGTGCTTGATCTGTGTAGACAAACGCTTCACATATGGAAAGATGATTAGGCTCGTCATTTTCCAAATGTACTGATACAAAAGCCCCAGGGGTAGGAGGATTACATGGAAGAAAAAGCGGTTGACCTTCTTCAATAAAACCAATAAACTTATTACAGATTGGATTAACACCCATATCAGGTCGGCTATTACCCACTCTTACTACAACAATAGCAGGATTTTTTCCTGAAGACGTTTAATTAAAATATAGAATATTTTGCAAAGAGAATTTCCAAAATCTTACCACAACATGATTTTCCAAAATCTAATCGTATAAGTTGCACCATATAAGGCTCGAGCAAATTAACATACCACCATGGGTGCTTCTCTGCTTTGGTTAACGTACAGGTATTTTTGTCAAAAAACATTGAAGTAGAGCTGTCTATTGCTTTTTGTGAAACGCCCTGCTCTTCTGTTGAAATTTGCATTGGAGCTTTTCCGGTTGCAACGTTTATAACTTCAAAATTCGCAATTATATATGTATAATATTCAAAGAAAATATTTAAGTCAAAAAAAAAAATATTTACCGCAGAACGGTATTCCTGACGGTGACCAATTACCATTTTCACATATTTTTCTTACTGGTCCTAAAAGTTCAAATCCCCTTTCACAATAATAGGACGCAATTGTTCCATCCTCCAAAATTTCGTTAGAAAAAACTATTGAACCGTGAGCTGGACATCCAGGAAAACTGCACAAAGCCGCTAAATTTGAAAAGTATTTTAAAGGTTTCTGGTAATTTTATAGCAATATCAAAATGTGTAATTACTTATGAATACAGTACAATATCATAAATAAATTCCTAAATGATTTACTGAATTACAAATTCAAAGTCTAATTTTAAGGAGAGTTGACAATAAACCTATTAAAGACCAGAGCTTTATGTACCTTTGTATATGTTTTACTACATTATACTTATGTAATTTAGTGAATGTTAATTTAATTTTACTTTTCTACACAATAGTCTACGTAAAAATAGTATTTTGCATTATTAACGATAACCTGGTACTTATGTTTGTAGATTAAATATGACACGCAAATTTTTAAAAAAGTGGCAAATCCTAGTAAAAATGTGTTTAGTTGGTTGGTGGATTCTTTGTTTGAAAAAAAAGAAGCGATTTGTCAAACAGAATGTGACATATACCGTTTATTAAGTAAAGTGATAGTACTTATTAAAATCGCAATTATTCCAAAATTGCTTTTTGTCCCATGAAAGACGGTAAGAACACTTCCTTCTCCTGCAAATTTTGCGTTTCGGTCATTTGAAATTTAGACAAAGCACCTATTCGCTCTGATAAATTATGAATTAAAAATTTGCAATTAAATTTAATTTGATGAAATTCGAACTAATTTTTTTTCAATAATACAATTAAACCTCTATAACTCCAAGTGGCACTGGAACGCTAAATAGTTCGAGTTAGGAAAATTCAGAGTTGAAGAGAAAAAAATCTTATGAATTCAAATGAAATAAGTATGACACATCATGTTTTAAAGAATATTTTTTAATTTGAAAATACCATTTCTTTAAAAACACTTCATATAATTTTTAAACTAAAACTTAAACAAGCGTATTTATATGTATATAACGTTTTACCGTAACTAACGTAATATAAATAACGTTGGTTTTAACGTAAATATAATTAACATTCATGTATATACGTGTTATATTATATGCATGTGTATACATGTATGTATGTATGATATAATTTATGTATATGTATCTATAAAATATAATATATGTATGTATGTATGTACTTTCAGTTCAAATTAAATATGTATGTTTTGTGCAATTTTTTGAAATTTTTCAGGTTAAGAGATGCCAATATTCAAAGGGACTCACATGGTTTCGAGGTACATTATGTAGATTTTCAAATTTAGAATGTTCCATTGTGTTTAAATGAATGAGTTGCTTAGGTTTTCTTATATGTGTATTTTTGAAGATAAAGCGAGGAAAATAAAAACAAAACTTAAATTAGGGCAAAATTTTTTTTTTTTAAATATTTTTACGATATTACATATTGGGGTCTGATAGACCCCAGTGTAAGTAAATTATTTCACGAAAATAAATGAGTGTAGGTCCTTAATTTAAATCATTGCATACAACTCATGAATGATACCATTCCATAAAAGTCAAGAAACAGTAAATATTAAGCTTTTTTGTTTTTTAATTTACATTTTTCCCTTTTATTACGTCGCTTGTCGCAAATTTGGTTTTAAAGTCAGATAACTCAAAATTAATATATATGTATGTATGTATTTAGTATTAAGGTCAATGGTAAAATTATAATATATGTATACATATATTACGTGCACATATGTATATGTTCATTCATATGAAAATGTTTACAAAGTATTATTACCAAGTTTGTCGATTTGACAAACTTTGATTAAGATTGTTTTGATTATGCATAAATATTCATTTTAATTTTTAAAATATTTGAACAATTAAATACTTATTAAAATTTAAAAATATATATGTATGTATATATTTAAAATTTTAATAGCATTAATAGTTATTAAAACTTCTAAATTTTTCACAGAGATTTCACATAAATAGAAATTTACATATGTATGTATTAAAAATTAAAATTCCAAATAGATCACAGAAACGGATAACTAACTTGCAAATGTAAAATAAATTTGATGTAAGCTAATTAGCAAAAATGCTCCAGTTTTATACAAAATAGTCAAATCGAATTTATGTTTTCTTTTCATTAAATAATCAACAATACAAAATATTGCCATTTAAAAATAACAATATATTTTTTTTGTGCAAATAGAAATATTTGTTAGTGTTTTTATATTGTGACTCAATAAATTAAACTTTCTTTCTTTTGCATTCGATCGCTTTAAAGTATTTCGTTTGACTGATGTGATTTGTTCTTGTACATACATATATATGTATATAATTAAAGAAGTAACTGTTTAAGATATACAGATTTTTTTTATGAAATAAACCTGTTTTCACTTTATTGCTGAAACATCGAGCACATTACGTTTCTTTTATTTTGTTTTCCTCATTCGTATTTTGTAGTTATACTCATACAGAATTTCATAAACCCCAAGAAAAAAATTTAAATGCATACAAGAAAGTTCAAAATTGGAGAATCAAATGTGTGTATATGTATGTATGTAAATAAAACAATTTACAATAAAATGTAAAAAAAATTAAATTTTATTCGTAGAGAATGAATACAAAGTAGGTACAACGAAAAAATGAAAAAAATAAACTTGAAGAAATTAAATTACTTGAAAATAAAATTAAATTTTTTTAACTTTTCTCTTGAGTTCGGTAAGGACTTTTTACAGTTTCTTTTCACATCTTTTTTGCATTAATAGGTTAATGAATACCTATTAAGCAAAGTATGTGTGCATGTATATGTATCTATTTTATAAGAAGCAAAGTATATCTATTAATAAGTAGTTCGACCACAGACATCTTTATATACATTATAAGAGTCCATGAGTTCGACTCTCCGTTTACATCACACTAATGCAATCACTCACCAATATTCGTATGCAAAAAATTCCCTTAGTTAAAAGAGTATACTCTTATAAAAGAGTATAGCAGTATACCTTCTTATTTTCATTTTTATGCACATAAGAATTTTTGAGAGAGGGAAAGAGTACGCAATAGATGTCAACCTGTTTTTTTATAATGTATTTTTAAAAGCGGGAGTTATTTATTTTTCCTTACATAAAGTATAAAAAAAATTATTATAATTTATATGTATGTAATTTTGAAAAATAATAAAAATAAATTTTGAAAAGACGTATAATATTAAAAAAAATTTAAATAGTTGTGAAAAAAATATTTTTTTTTATAAAAATGGGTAAACATTATTTGAAGTGTTTGGGATGAAAAAAAGCCGACACGAAAATTTCATTTGATGCCAAAAGATGTGGAGAAGCAAATATGTACTTTTGAAAATATTTTAATTTTTTCACAACTATTTTTAAAATATTTAAGCATTTGTAACTAATAATTATCAATAAATAAATAAATTATCTTTAAATTTTTTTATTTTTATTTCAATCTTAATAAATTTAAAGCATATTTCTTATGAATCGGTAATAATTATATTCCATAAAGAATTAATCAGTATGCATACACCTTTTCTATGTCACTACTCGTACTTAGTACTGTGTATCTACTGTACCAGGTACATTCATGTGTACATTCATACCTACACAACACCTATACAACATCATACCTTTCTTGCCTACACAACACTTATTACCATCTATTTCTAAATAAAAATGGAATATCTTAAGAATTTGGAAGCTAAATGCAAATGAAAACTAACGGAATGGAGCGAGTCGAATTACTTATTTATAGATATACTTTGATAAGAAGTTCGATTCGTTCCATGCTGTTAGTTTTCGTTTGCTTGTCACTTCCACTATTCTTAAAATCTTCAAAACCTAACAAGAACTGTCCGTCTGTCCGTGTGTCTGTTTACAAAAGTTCTACACGCTTGAAGATAGAAAGCTGAAATTTTACACGTACATAGATCTTTACTAAAAACCCTTTTCCGTAGAACAAAATTTTCACCTATCTCCTCCTCTCAAAAAGTTATTCCCCTATAAAACCGTGAAAACGGCATTTTTTAACTATTAATTGCAATGAAGCCATAAACATTTTTTAAATTTTTCAAAGGCAGAAAAATAGTAGCTGGCTTCTTCTATCACGGCATACCATTTCTGAACTTTAAAAAAGCAAAATGGCGGTTAAAATTTACCGTTATCTAAAATCCGTTTTTTTTTCAAATTTTTGATGCCGTTTTTCTTCAACACCGTACGTTACAGAAGCACCTTATATTTGCATATTTGGCACCTTATATTTGCGAAACCACAAGCTTTTTTAAATTTCTATAAACGTAAAAAGCTAACAGTAAAATTCGTGTCATTAAAAAATATAGTTATTTTTCTTAACTCACACAATTAACCCTTAAAATCGAGCATTATGTGAACCCTTCTTTGAATTTATTTTTGCTTTATTTCAGACTGCATAAATCGTTCATTCTAAATGTATGCAATCCTAGAAATAGTTTCGTACATGAATGAAAATAATTTTAATAGGGTGTTAGGTATATATGTACATAGAATATATTAATTAAAACCAGTATTTTCATTTGTTGAAGGGAAAAGGGCTACAATACAAATCATTGGTGCCCAACTTTATTTTATTTCTGCCAGGGACTGTTGCTAATTTTAGGGAAAAAATTACCGAACCGAACCATGGACCCGGCTAGCTGCTATGCTACTCAAAAAGATTATTTTAAATATTTCAAAAACTAATAAAACTAATGAAAGTCATGTGTTCAATCACAGCTCAGGTATGTCTCGGAAGTTTCTATGAAATAGCTTGACTGTATTTGATGACGAATCGTAAACGAAACTGATGCTTTTAAAATTATTTCAAAAAAAGAAGTTTTTAGTCCTCAATTTTTACATTTAGAAATACAAAATTTAATTAATAAGATATATAAGATAAGATTAATAGGACATACAAAATTTAATTAAAAAGAAAATACTTTCAAATATTTAAAATAACTGGTATTTTATATGGCGAATAATAAAAATTTATTTCGAGTTTACAAACATTTTTTGATATTGTAAAAATAACTGCAAACGTACATATGCAAAAATATACCAGAAATGAAAAAAAAATACCGCTGGCCATTAAACCTGTTGCTAAACAAAATTATAACAGCACGCGTATTGATTTGAATATTGAAAATAGAAAAAACGGAGTAATTCTAGTTGAAACCGAAAATAGTGAAGAAAGAAACATAAAGTGCTATTATAAAAGAATTTTGAAAAGAAATATCAAATGAAAATTCCTAGTAAACTTAAAACCAGAATCGAGGTTGTCCCTCTAGGTTCCAAATACACGGAAACAGAATTGCTTAACAAACCAAAGGGACAAAATCAGCACCTAGAATCAAGCAATGAAATTAAAGTGATTGAAATATACAAGGTAAATAATCACAAGGAGGAAAAATATAATGCGGTAATTGAAATTGAAATGCGCTAATTCTATATGCTATATAAATTGCGTCAATCCTAATGAAAAATTATCACTTAATCATGATTAGTGCTACGACACGTTTAGTAAACAATGTCCAGTTTATATAAACAAATTAAGTTCTATGAAGAAACGAATTGGTTACTATCTTTTTCCAATATTCAAGGTCAATCTGATGTTGTAGAAATATTACTTGTAATGCACCAACTACGAAGGAACAAAAAAACAATGGTACTAATACACAATTAAAGAAAAGTAATAAACTAGGAATAATTGATTCTAATATCAAAAAAGCTCTAACTAAACTCAACGATAAAAGCTTCAATAAATATTTTTCTAAATTATTCAAAACGCCTAAATCGTCAATTTCAAATAATATCGTTACCAATTGGGTTGAAAAGGGACCAAACGGCAATAATGGTAATAACATTGAAGATAATAATGATGATAGTAGTGTTAATAATAATAGTAATAAAAACAGCAATAGTAAAAATAATAATAATAACACTAATAACATTAAATCCAATAACAATATAAACAATAATAACAACAATATATTTTGTTGCAGTTGTTGGTTTGCAGTTACTCAAATTAAGGTGAAACATTAAACCCACAATTAAAAGTCGAAAAAAATAAGGTAAATTCAGATGGTTACAGTAATAAATTATCTAATTCCTTCATTGAAAACAAAGAAAACAATCGAAAGTGAGGACAATGTGTATGTTCTGTCTCAATTTAAGGGCCAAAGAATATACAGCAATGTAGGAATTTTCCCTGCATACTTTTATGATCACGATGATGCCCTACGAGGGGATGACGCAAACTAGTATCAAAGTCAGGAAGATTTTTATTGACCAGGAAGATTTACCCACCGATCATCAGGAGTTGCGCAAAATAACTTCAAAAACCATGAAAATATTGGTGTTACCCACAATAAAATTAAAAAAAGTCTTAAAAATTTATGGACGACAAATTAACAACAAATACAGGGAGTAGCTCCAAAAAATGAGAGTGAATTGGCAATATTATATGTTAAGTATACCTTAATGATGGTAAGCCACAACAATATAATGGAGATAGGTAACTCAGATTTTGACATTAATATTGATCCTATTTTTAAAAATTGTGATAGTGTTTTTGAATTTTCTTGTACTAATTATTTTTAGTTCATCAAAATATAAGAAGTTTAAGGAGGAACTTTGATTCGTTTGTGGTGCATTTGGAAGCTTTTAAAAATTGTCCAGGTTTTATTTATGTTTCAGAAATTTGGATTTTCAATAATGAAATAAATAGTTAAAATATTCCGAACTACAAATTTTATGCTAACACTAATAGAAACTTATTCTGCTGGCGGTGTTGGAGTATTTGTAAAAAACAACTATGCTTATAATGTATCTCATTGTAATATAACTTCTGCTGATGTAATCAAAATTAGTTATTCTATTAATGGTGAGTCTTTCTCTTTTGTCTGTATATACACATCACATAATTTAATTTGTTTATTAATGAAATTATTAAATTGCTGAGTAGTATTAGCGCAAAAAATTTAATTGTTTTAAGTGACATGAATTTACACATTTTGTATGATAGTGAGATTATTGATTCTTACCTTTCAGTAATAGCTGCAAATGGTTTGGTTGTTATTATAAATGAACCAAGTATACCGATTTCAGGGACTTGTTTAGATCACATTTTTGTTTGCTTAAACAAGACTCCTATTGAAATTTGCGAAAAGGTGTTTTTGATTTTGACATCACAGACCATTGCATAACTGGTTGGCTTTTCAAAAACTTTAAGAAAGAATTAGATAGTTCTAAAGATGCAGCTCTATTTACAAACATTATATCGTAGATTATAGTAGTCTTAATAATTTGCTAAGGTTCGAGTTTTGGTTCAATTAGAGTTAGGAAAAATAAAAAATTAAAACCTTGTATGAATGAAGGCCTTTTACGTTAAATTAGATTGAAAAATAAATTAAGGATGAAATTATATAGACAAGAATAATACTCGCTTGAAAATTCGATATAATAAGTTATCAAAATCTGTGAAGCATGAAACTGATTGATACCGTAATAGTTTTTCTCATTCCGAATTTGTTAAATGTAAAGGTGACTTAAGGGAGGAATGGTGTTTAGTTAATGATTTGGTGAATGGAGCACGATGTGAGAGTGCGACCATACATTTGAAGAAAAATGGCCAAATTATCTCAGATGAAACCACAGTTGCTTGTAAATTTAACAATCACTTCTCGTCTATTGCGGCCGATTTGGCTTTTGGTCTTGAAAATAGTTATGTCAGCTGTCTTGATGAAATTAATATAAGGAATAGTTTCTTCTTTGATAGCATCACTGTGAATGAAGTTTTTGATATTTTAAAATCACTGGATAATTCGAACTCTGCTGGTATTGATGGTATTTTTAATAAAATATTCAAGTACATTGCCTTAAATGTTGTTGACGTGTTAACGTATATTTTTAACATTAGTGTTTTGTCAGGTGTTTTCCCTAGTCAGTTAAAGCGTGCAGTTATAGTAGCGCTTTTTAAAAAGGGTGGCCATACAGATACAAACAATTAAAGGCCGAATTCTTTGCTGTTCACCATTTCAAAAACTCTTGAAAAGGCTACTGAGCGTAAGGTCTTAAATTACTCGAGCAAGTTAAATATCTTCAGTGATAAACAATTCGGCTTCAGAAATGGTATCTCAACCGAAGACGCACTTCTGCAATTTTGCTCGAACATTAACAAAGGTTTGGATAATAAAAAACATTGTGCCGCTAATTTCGTTGATGTTACTAAAGTTTTTGATATGGTAGATCATTCTATTCTTTTACAAAAAATGTCAGCCTTGGGTTTTCGTGGTTTCATTTTTGATTGGTTCATATCATATTAAAGTGACAGAACACAATGCGTTAGAATTGAAAATTGCTAGAATGACTATAAAAATATTAGTTTGAGTGTACCTCGAGGTTCAGTTCTGGATCCGGTCCTGTTCTTAATTTATATAAATTCATTTTTCAATCAGGAATTTCGAGATAATTTAACAGCCTTTGCTGATGACGTTGTTGTAGCTTATAATAGTCCTCTAAACTTAGCTAGTGATATTATTAATGATTTACACGTTTTTCGTAACTGGTTTACTAAGCATAAATTAATGGTAAGTGATATAACTAAACTAATTTTTTTTACCTCACTCAGCAGAACAATCTTGATGTAGATTTTGTTTTTCATGATTCTAATTGTAAGCGTTTTGTTGAGAATAGTGAGTTTAAGGGGAATTCAGGTGATACTTTCATTTGCAGTCCTGGGTGTTTTTGTATTGAAAAAGTTGAAAATTTCAGGTATGTTGGTGTCATTATCGATAGAAAATTTAATTGGTCGCAACATACTTCTAAGCTGAAAACACATTTCCGCTGTACATCAAGACTTTTCTATCAATTGAAGAAGTTATGTTCAGTAGACGTGCTTAAAATGTTTTACTAAGGTGTTTTTCATTCTAAGTTGCAGTACGGCTGCGGTATGAGTTGCTGGGGGGTGCCTACAGAAATAAAATTAGTTCTCTTTTGATATTGCAAAAATCTGTCATCAGAAATATATGAGGTATGAATAGATATTCTCATAGCATAGTATTGTTTATATCTTTAAAAAATTTTCCGGTTAGACAGCTATATTACAAAGTCTTTTTTTACTATCACTTTTTTTACTATTAAGTCACTATTTTCTAGTTTCTGACTTGAAGCATCTCGTTCTTGGCCTTCCTCTGTTGCGATTAAATGTAGGTCTGCTTTGTAAAATTCTATATTGGGGCAAATTTTCATTCATTCGCACAACATGTCCTGTCCACCTTAAACGTTGCGATTTATTAAAACGTATTATGTCTTCATTTTTAATAAGATCATTAATTTCGTTATTATTTGTACGTCTATATTCTCCATTTTCTAATCTTATTGCACCAAATATTTTCCTCAGTATTTTTCGTTCGAAGATTCTTAGATGGTTTTCCTCCGCTGCATTCAATGTCCATATTTCGCATCCATATGTTACAACAGGAGGAATTAGAGTTTTATATATTTGTATCTTAACATTTCTTTTTAAAAGTCTTGATTTTATAAGTTTTCTATTCGCAAAATAACACCTGTTACCTGCTTTAATTCGGTTCTGTATATATGTTTTTATGCTATTATCATTGGATAAAACTACACCGAGATATTTAAAACTTTCCACTCCTTGGAATAAATAGTCCTGTATTTGTATATCTTGTGATTGTCTTCGTCTTGCATTTCTGGACATTTTCAAAAATTTAGTTTTATTTTCATTAATCTTAAGACCTACTCTTTTTACTTCTATAATATCGCAAAATCTTCTCGCAACTATTGCAATGTCATCTGCATATGCAATGATTTGATATGCTCTTATAAGAATGTGGCCGCCTTTATCTAGTTTTCCAATTGCATATTGAAGTACAATATTAAATACTAGCGCTGATAGCGTATCCCCTTGTCTTACTCCGCTTGTTATTTTAAATTCATCTGATACGCTGTCTTGTACGTATTAAAACTTTTGCTTGTGATTCATACATGGTCATTTTTATTAATTCAACAAGTTTCTTTGATACTCCCACCTCTAACAGGACTTTAGGAATGTTCTTTCTGTTTATGCTGTCAAATGCCTGTTTAAGATCTATGAATAATATATGCAAATCAACATTATATTCATAGCATTTCTCCATGCCCTGCTTAATTATAAAAATTTGATCGATTGTGGATCTACCAGTTCTAAAACCACCTTGATATTGTCCTAATATTTCTTCATAATATGGTCTTAATAAGCACAACTCAACAATGTTATTCCTCTATAATTGCCACATATTAATTTATCACCCCTTTTATGAATAGGACATAATAATCCCAATTTCCATTTTTTTGGCATGTAATTGCTGTCCCATATTCTAAATATTAAGCTATGTATTCTATTTGAGCGGAAGGTACCACCACATTTAAACAGCTCAGCTGTTAGTCCATCTTCTCCTGGTGATTTATTATTTTTTAGTTTTTCAACCGCCTTTTCGATTTCTTGAATCTCCGGTGCAGGGATTAATTGTTCTACTGTTTGTATCATATTTGCAATTTCACCGTCATCTTCTGTAATTGGTATATTCAGTAATTCCTCAAAATGCTAGGACCATCTTTTTAGGACATCACTTTTATTTGATATTATATTGAAATTTTTATCTTTACATGCTATTAGTCTAGGTTTAAACCCACTTTTCTCTTTTTTCATGTCATTATAAAGCTTTCTTACGTAATGTGCGTCATATTCTGTCTGTATTTGTCTAATCTTATTTTTTAACATTTCCTTTTTCTTTTTTTGGCAGATTTTTGTTGCGATTCTTCTTTTTTCCTTATAATTTTCTCGGTTTAACCTAGTATTTCTTTGTAACATTTTGTATTTCACTGCATTTTTAATAACAATTGCATCCTTGCACTCCCGATCAAACCACTCTATATTACGCTCTGTTTGTTTGTCCTACTATTTCTTCTGCTGTTCTCCTCATCGCATTTTCCATCTGATCCCATTCTTCATCGATACTTCTTGCGTTATTTATTTCACCTTCAAGTCTTCTTTCTACAATATTACGGAAATTCTCATTTGTACCTTCATTTTTTAAATTATCCGTATTCCATTTTCTTCTTTTTACTCCTTTCTGCTTTACTACATTGGAGATTCACTGTCGCAATTTTGATACGACCAGAAAATGATCGCTGTCACAATTTGCACCTCTGTAAGTTCGCACATCAATTATTGATGTTGCCCATCTCTTTGATATTAGTACATGATCTATTTGGTTCACTACATTTCTTCCTGGAACCTTCCATGTTCCTTTATGTATATTTTTTCTTTCAAAAGCTGTACTCCTTATTCTTAGATTATTCTCATTAGCAAATTAATATAAACGCCTTCCATTTTCGTTCGTCTCATTGTGCAACGAAAATCTTTCAGCCACTTGTTGTATATACCGTTCCCATCATAGTAAGGTATTCCTTCACATAAATTGTTCAATTCTTCATAAAATTCATCCTTTTCGTCATCATTTGCTTCCTCTGTAGGGGCATATACAGATATGATTGTTATATTATTAAATTTTCCCTTAACTCTAATGCTACACATTCTCTTGTTGATCGGTGTGAATGCTATTACGGCCTTTTTTATTTTTTTATTTACGATGAAACCTGTGCCGCACATTCCAGATCTAAAATTATCCCCGCTGTAATATATAGAGAAATCGGGTTTATTTATTTCTCCATATCTCATCCATCTTATTTCTTGTAAAGCTATTATATCTAAATTGTTTTTCATCATTTCACTTACAATACATATTACAAAGTATTGAAGATTTTTTTTACGAAAGGTGACTATCTTAACAGTGGGATTTCTAATGTCTATGATTTGCGTTCTAATCAAAGGTTCTTTGTAATTACTCCAGCATTTCGTACTACGAACTATCGGAACTTTTATGATATTGTGTCTTCTCGTTTGTTTAATATTTTACCGGAATCAATAACTTTACTTAGGCGTAAGAACATTTTCCTATAACTAAAGAAAAATATTGGCTTTTAATCTTTGACCACAGCGAAATTGAGAATCTGTTAAAAACTTTAGCATAATCATATATTATATTTGGTTCAGTTTCCACTATTTCTTAGTTTTTTTTTAAACATATATGGCATTAAACTATGGTTCCATGTATTAATGAATGCTTTTTCTTATTCTTCTAGTTAGTATGTATATTTTAGAACTAAATCAAAATTGCTTTTTTCATATATAAGATTTTGTAATTACTAATTATCTAAATTAAAAATTGCAACTATGCTACATGTATGTAATAGGAATCATTTTATGTTTAAGAATTTGAATTCAAAAATTTATATGTACATATATTTTTAATCAAAATTTATATGCTTGTAATATAGTTTTGTATTTAGTATTAAAATGATTAATTGTATTACTATTAACTAGAATGAATAAAGTTTATTTACTAACTTACTTACATTTAACAAAAGTAAAACTTCTATACGATATTTTAATTTCGATAAAATATGTGAAACAAATAAGTAAGGTGAATAATTTAAAAAATAATTCATCGGATAAAAAAAAATTTGGAGCAGTGTAAATAGCCAAATTGGATTGTTTAATTATGTTTTACAGTTTATGTGCTATAATGATCCATGTTATACAAAAAAATTTTCTGTTTGACATGGATCATTATAGCAGTCAAAAATTTTTTTTAAAATTTATATGAAAATTTAGTATCTACGAAACTAAATGAGATAGTGAAAATCTGATTACATATACTGAAAGATCATCTTCGAAAACCTATGAAAGTGGTCTTAAGTCAGGAATTTCGAAAGTGGCGTGTGGATCAAAATAGCACTCAGCCGACGACTTGTTTTTACGAAATTTCTATGTTAAAGCTGCAATAATTTCTGAGGTAATTGCAAATAACTTTTGGAGTTGTATGGCACCTGCCACAAGTGCTCATGAGATTTCAACAACTTTTAATGAATATTCATTGCCATTTTGCAGTATTTTATTTTTCAAAGTTTCAGTACTGTAGGTTGAACATTTTTTAAGATGTAACTAAATAACTTCTCAAGTTGTATGTCAAATACCAGATGGAGCCAAGCAATAAAGTACTTTTTATTTTCGCTAATATATTTCGTGCGCTACATACGCACATAACAAAGCTGATTGTCTTCTAATTAAGACAACAAACAATAAAATTAAAATCTATTAAAATTAGAAATTTTATACCTGACTTAATCCAAAATTTAATTTTTTGTTGCAATTATTGCAATTGATTTTGTACACACCGCATCTTTCATGTTTCTTGAATTTATCCTTAGCTGAGTTTAAGGTGTCGGAATTAGTTGTATATTTATCAAATCTTAGTTGTTTATTTATCAAATTTAAATTTTACATAGGACAAACGAAGAGACCCGTTACAAAAAGACTTAAGGAAGATTTAAGAGTGGTAAAACGTGGAAGGAGAGTAGGATTTAACAAGAATTTCGATTCAGTGGTTGCAAAACACATTTATGAAACGGATCACATAATTACGGAAGATAACTTAAAAGTATTAAAAGAGGTAAAAGGAAAACACGGGAGAGAAATTCATGAAAGCATGCAGATATACAAATCAAACAAGGACTGCCACGGACTGTAGTACTGTACACGGACGAAGGTAACGCGGGTACTTGGCCCTTAAATTAATTATTTGACAAGGTTTAAAGTTTTAAACAGGTATAATTTTAGTTTGTAATTTATAATAAAAATAAAAAAAAAATTAATTTTAGATTGAGTCAGGTAGATAATTTGATTAAGACAGGTATAATATTTCTAATTTTAATAGATTTTAATTTTATTGTTTGTCGTCTTAATTAGAAGAAAATCAGCTTTGATACATACGCGCTTTATGTAGCGCACGAAATATATTAGCAAAAATAACAAGTATTTTATTCCGAATAAAAGGGAGTTTTCTTTTCATACACCTAAAAAATAAAAAAAAAAAAATTGTATTTTGGAAAAACTATCAACCATAGAAGAATTTTTTGAGCCAAGAAATTTCAACGACTTTCACCAAACATATTGGCCCTACTAATGTATTTGCTGGTGCAAATTTCAACACCGCAGCTTTTACAGTTTCTGAGACATAGCCAAGGAAATTTGGAAGTCGTATGGCAGGTACCCGAACCAGTACCTCGATAATAAGCAATTTAAATAGGGTATATAATAAGTCATTTGTGAAAATTTGGTGAACTCAGCTCAATTAGTTTTTTAACATAAATATCCCACAAAATCAAATTTTTACTTAGAAAAAGTTAAAATTCAATCTTTTTAAGATTGAATTTTAATTTGTTTTTTTCGATGTATAAATTTGATTTTTGTGTGTTTTTTTTTTGAGAAAATTTGAGAAATATTAATTACATATATACGAGTAGTTTGTTAATTATGTATAACCTGCCTCCTACAATGCATATGTACTTCTTATGTAATCACATACATATATACGAGTATCTAAACAAGGTGTTTCGCACAAGGTGGCAAATAGTTTCCAGGATGGTTTCTTGATTAATTTCCAGCCAAAAATTGTAAGGGTGCTGGAGGGTGCACATATAATTGTTTTCGAACTACAGCCTGTTGAAAAAAGGTAGCAAATTCTTCCAACATATAAGTAAATAAATGCTCATAACTTCGAAACCATGCGACACTGAGAAAAATTCGAAATTTCTGTTCGTGTATATGTGTATATGTATGTATGAATATACATACACACGTATTAGTAATATATTTGATAAAGTATGAATTAGTATGCATACGTTCTTTTTCTTCATAAATTGCTTTGACGTTTACTTATAAATTATGTTAAGTCAAGTAAGCTTCAAGTTTTGTATCTTTTATATAGATAGACATAAAATAGGCTTTCAGTATGCACGCTTGAAGCAGCCATATAAACTGGGTTGTATTACTACATCATAATAAATATGTATATGTACAATAGCATATTTACAATATAATAGTATGTATTTATAAGTTTTATGAAATGAAAAATAAATTTTGTTTTTATTAAAATGAAAATTACAAAACTTTCACCTAACTTAATTTTATTTTATTTTAGTTCGTTATTTTTAATACACTTGTTTGTTTTTATTTTTTTTCTTTCTTGCCTAAGCAACTCCTATTACCATCTATTTATTCTTAATAAAAATCTAATATTTTGAGAATAGTGAAAGTAACATGTAAACGAAAACTAACGGCTTGGAATGAGTCAAACTACCCGCAAATTCTTTAACGTCAAAATTTTGTTTTCAGTCTGCAAACTGTCTGACGTATAAAACTTTTACGGACAGAAATGTAGTAAACTTTTTACCCGTAATTGACTTTGAATTTTGATCATCCGTAAACGTCAAAACAAAAAAAAAATTTTTTTTAGATTTAAAATAATTTTATACTTACATATTAAAAATTAACAAAAAAAATATTTTTTATATTATTTTTAACGTAATGATAGTCACTCAATACATCAAATTTATTTACTGAATTACTACGTCAGACTGTCTGCATGTAAAAAAAAAATCTACAATTTTGACGCTTAATTGACTTTTTTTAAACGTTTAAGAATTTAAACTTTGACTGAAAGTAAAAACGCAGTAGAGTATTCGTAAACTCAGACAACTCAGATTTTGTAAAATTTGACGTTTAAGAATTTACCATACTTCTTCTAAACATTGTAAATACTTTGCTGTTAAGTTTTCTACATTATGTTAAAACTAGTCTTTATTTCGGTATAAAAATATGGCAAAAAGATCAGCAACATGTCTGTCAGGGTTGAAAAAACCTTAAAAGAAAAAACCTGATATGAGCAGCTCAAAACCGAACTCATTGCATACTATCTAAATGTTATTTATAAATACTGAATTATTAATACAACGTGTAGTTGTTTAATTAATAATTATTGTGCTATTACAAAATAATAATAACTTAATGAAAATTTCTTCATACAACTGCAGAACAGGTGGATGACGTAATCAAAGGAACGAGTTAAAGGCAGAAAACCTACCGTCAGTGACCTACCGCTTTCTAAGCGGACGCTTCACAAACTGAGCTACAGAGGTATTGCCGAGAAATTGTTCTTCACATTGCTTTATACTGTGAATTACAGTATTAACCAACTTTTATTGCTATAAAAGCAACGATTTTTTACTTTTCATATTATATAAAAACATTTTTGGATGTGTTTTTTGAGCAACTTCCGAAAATAATAGAATTTTCTTTCAAAAATTTCCCATTATGATCGAACAATTCCAAGAGATTTCCCATTATGAAAATGTAAAACCAACCAATTGTTGAATGTACTTCGCGAAGCTTATATTAATGATTGAAATTTTTGCAATTTACTTTGATTTATTTACATATTTTTGTTTAATTTATCTTCGATAAAATTTTATAGAAAAGGATTTATATACAAATTTGAGTAGTTTCAAGAGTTCTTGTTCAAGAGCTTCAAAATTTGAACAAGTAACAGAATTTTCAAAAAAAAAAAATTCTGCCAATTATCTTTTTCTCTTGCTTTGTATTTTATTCTGATAAATTACTTATCCATTCAAATAAAAAAATGATTTCATTTTTTATAAGAGAAAAATTGTCCAACTATTTTATACCAATAATTGTGATTTATTATTTGTTTAACCACAAGAACATTTAAAGAAAAGACATTCCTTTAAGTTAGAAATACTATGAAACAATATGTAAAAAAGTTTTATCCTAGAAAAACGTTTGCAGATGAAAAGACCCCGTGCGTATCAACGATAACTCAAAAACTAATTGAACTAAGTTCATCAAATTTTCACTAATGGTTTATTATAGTAACTGCCAGAAACACTATTTAAATTGGATATGATCGAATATAAGCGAATATATTATAAGGGCTATTCTGTTTGCTGAAAGTCATTGAAATTGCTTGACTCTTTTTGGTAGCTGCCATACAACTTGGAAAGTTATTTGGCTATATCTTATAAACTCTTCAACCTACGGTACTGAAATTTTCTAAAATAAAATTTGGTAAAATGACAGCTCTATTAATTAAATGTTTTTGAGATCTCATGATTACTTGTGATAGCTGCAATACAACTTCAAAAGCAAATTTTGTATATTACGAAAAATATTAAAGCTGAATCTATGACCTGGTTTATGAATCTAAAACCTGGTAGTCGTGTGTCTATTTATAGGTCAGATATATTCTTAAAGTTTTGGTTGAATTTGTTTGACAGGTTCGGGTAGCTGCCATAGAATTCAAAACCTAATTTTTAATATTTGAAAAAGCAATAAAGTCAGATTCATTAAACTTTTCAGTCGTGTGTCCAATTAGATGTCAGATATATTTCTGAAGTTTTGGTGGAATTGTTTGAAAGGTTCGGGTAGCTGCCATATAAGTCCAAAAGCTAATTTTAAATATTTGGAAAAATATTAAAGTCAAATTCATGAGACTTGGCAGTTGTGTGTCCAATTATAGGTCAGATATATTCTTAAAGTTTTGGCTGAATTGCTTGAAAGGTCCGGGTAGCTGCCACACTGCAAAAACTTATATTAAATATTCTTGAAGTTTTGAAATATTTCAAAAACAAGTTTTCATACTCAGATTGTCAAGGTGCAGGGCATAATTCACTTGGTTTAGACCGACTGAAACGGTTTTACTTGCTTTTTATGTTATTTTGTCATTTTGTCAAATTTATTTAAATTTTTAAATGAATTAAATTAAAGTAACACTTATATTTATATGAAATAACATTGTTCAGATGGTGACCAAAACACATATTCCATAGGAATAACGAATTAAGTCAAAATTATAGTAATTATGAATAAATGAAGCAAATGAATTTACACTTTCGAAAATGTTTAAAGAGCTGTAACTTATTCGAGTTTGTAATATTTTTCAATCAACGTTTTTACATAAGCTTTATATTTACATATATGTATATGTATCTATAAGGAAATAATAATAAGGTATAGTTCTTATTTTTTTTAGTCTACAAAAATGTATTAACTTTCCGTTCAACCTCATCCATCTGTGCTTCAATTGTATTATTTCCCATAAAGCGTGGGCAATCAATTGTAAAGTACACATAAAGCGTGGCCAAAGCTAAATATAATAGGCAATATATTATATATATTTAAAGGTATTTTTTGGTTTCAATAGTAATTAAACGATAATTATAAATGTAATTAAAACTACAATTAGTAAAATGTAATTATAACTACTGTAAAATCTCTCAGCTGGTAGTGCGTCTGCTTAGGAGACGAAGATCTCTGGTTCGAGTCCAGTCGAGAAGAAAATTACTTTTTTTTCACCTTGATTAGTTTAAATGATTGCGTCACCCATATGTTGTGCTGTACGAAGAAATTTTCGTTGTTCATTTCTTGCAATTTTATTTCCATTTTTTTTTTATTTTCCTCTAAATTTCTAATACTTTAATGGATATTGGGATGAAAACATATATAACTTCTAATGCACATTTAGGGTTTTAGTATGTTTATTTATTTAATTACGTACTTCTATATAGTTGTATGTGGGTATAAAATATCCATATACATACATACATATGAATATACACACTCATTAACAAAACATTATATTCATATTATTCCTATATGATAAATACTATCTCACAGCTAAACCATTTATTGTAATCGAATTCAAACCATTGTAAGGTTCAGGTTCATACACTTCGTCATTGTTCTTAATTTCATACGGTGTGTCATATTGCCATTGCTCTGCGTCGTTGTAAACATTATCTAACAAAAAAAGCAAACGTTACTTAAAATAAAAGTTTTAAATAATTGTTCATAAATTTCAAAACTTAAAAATTTTATTAATTTATTCCCAATTTACCGTTTGAGGTTTTTAAATTATTTTCTGCAGAATTGCTTAATTCAAAAGCTGAATATGATACCACTGCGGCACTCCTGTCTTCTTTTGATTCTGCTGCTTGGACGTTTTCAGAATTTTTAACTGGCAATTGTTTATTTCTATATATAAAAAGCGCTGTTATAATAATCAATAAAATAATTATAAACGAGCCCCCAAATATTACACCACTACTTAAATGCGATTCAGATTCTTGGAATGTATAAGCCCCACATACTGGTTGCTCTCCACTCCATTGACCATTGTCTAAACATTTTCTTAAAAACGGACCTGATCTAATAAAATTTGGTATACAATGATACTCAGCCGATCCGCCATAAGTTGTCGTTTCGTTTATAACTATCACGCGACCATTCTCAATCTGTTCAGGAACTCCACAATCAACCGCTAAGCAGTAAAAAATTATTTTTTTAACTGTTATCATAAATGTAAAGTGCTTACGTTGACAAAGTGGGGGCTTTCCAGACCAATTACCAGACTTCAAGCATGTTCGAGTATTATTACCTAAAAGATTTCTACCTCTGACACATTTATATTTCACGATTGATCCAACCGTTCTAGATTCCATTACGCTGATTTCTAAATAATTGGTCGGATTCAATTCTTCACAAGTAATACTCTGACATTCAGGTTCTTCATGGCTCCAAGTTCCATCTTGAGAACAAATTCTCCTTGAAACTCCACTTAATTTGAAATTTTCCTGGCACTCATATAAAAGTACTGCCCCGTAATATGTGGCATTTGTAGCCAAAATTATCTTACCATTGGAAATATTTTGGGGTTTACCACAATCGACATCTAAAAAGATAATTCTTAAATATATCGAAATGCACTATATTATAAAGCATGTACATAAGCATTCAGGTATAACACCACTCCAAATTCCACTTTCATTACACGTCACCAGTGGATCTCCAACAATTTTATATCCCCTTTCACAGCGATATTTTGCCAATGCACCAATTCTACAATTTTATAACAAATTTTAGTAATATTTGGTTTAAAAAAAATATAAAAATGTGTCTTTAAATAAAAAATGGTTGATATAAAAAAGAAAGATTAATTCAAAAAATTGCACAACTTTGGAAATATAAGATGCCAAAAATTCGAATTTTATAAAATTCAAAAGGCGATAATTTTAGAGGGGTCGGTGGCGGAAAAAAATTTTCTGATACAAAATTGAACTATTTATTAATGTCTAAAAGATGCTGAAATTTCACTCTCACGAAACTTGCGGTTTAGAAGAAAAACGATATCAAAAATTTGTGAAAAACGGACTTTAGATAATAGTAAATTTTAACGGCCACTTTGTTCTTTTAAAGTTCAAATATGGTATGCCTCGGAAGCCACCCACTATTTTCCTGCGTTTGCAAAATTTAAAAAATGTTTATGGTTTCGCTGCAATAAATAGTTAATTAATGCCATTTTTAGGGTTTAAGGGGAGGTATAACTTTCAAAGGGGGTGATAGGAAAAAATTTTCTTCTACAGAACTAAGTTTCTAGTAAAGATCTATGTGCATGTGAAATTTCAACTCTCCATCTTCAAGGGCGTAGAAGTTTTGTAAACGGACACAGTGAGCCTAATAACAATTTTTTTTTTTAATTTTTTTTGGAAAAGTGAAAAATATTGGTTTTTGCAAAAAAATTCACTATTTTCAGATTTTATACATATTGTTTATGCGTTAAACATAATTTTCAATAAACTTTTTAGAAAAAAGTACTTGCTGAAAAAAAAAGAATAATTTATTGGCATGCAGACAACTTTATTTACACGCGAAAACGACATATGTGTGTATGTACATATTTGGCGAAATAACACATTTTTGAAGAAAAAAAACGCATTTGGGTTATAATATAAAATTTATACTTACTTGTATGTTTGAGCTTGGTTTGACGCTTCTGAAGTTCTAATCAAAGTTCTTCCATACATTCTATCATTACCTGTTACAGATAATATACTGTGCGCAGCCAAAATTGGTTCTACACATCTTATCTCTGAAGAAAAAACAATAATGAATGTAAAATGCCACAAAAATTTTTAAATAAACTATAGGTATACGTTATGCATATATGTACGGACCTTCACAATGCGGTATTGGATTACTCCAATCACCTAATTCTAAACATGTAATATTTTCCGAGCCCACTAATTTATATGAACTATTACATGTAAAACTTGCAATCGACCCTAAATAAGTTTTATTAAAAGAGTACTCTACATGTCCATTGGGAAAACTTTTGATCAAACCACAGTCAACATCTAGAAATATAAAATTTCTCATTATAAAATAGTGTAATCAGCTGTTAAACGTTATATTTATGTATATACATTCACATAAAGGTGGTTCAGCATTCCATTCTCCATTGTTAAGGCACTGTAATTTAGGTTGACCTTTAAGTAGATATCCAGGATCGCAATGATATTGTATAATCGAATTCACATTGTAATCATAACCAACGACGTAGGAACCCGTAGGCACTGGAGGGATCTCGCAAGTAATTAATTCACAAAATGGAGTTTCGCCGGACCATTTCCCATCAATAGTGCAAATTAATTCTTTTGTACCGTATAACCAGTAATCTTCTTCACAAGAAAATAAAGCTTTTGATCCTACAGTCGTGGAATTATTTACTAGGACTACACTCCCTCTGTCTGGCCGAGCTGGTGCCCCGCAATCGACGAACCTACACGTTGGTGCTCTCCCCGACCATTTACCACCCAGTTCGCATACAAGAATCTGAAAACAAAAGGGTATTAAAAAAGGTAAATACATGTATATTGTGAAATACCGGTTCACCCGTCATCACATATCCTTTATCACAAGTGTATACGGCTTTTGAATTCAGTTGATTACCTTCTATTTTAACATCACCACCAAAAATATTTGGTGGATCCGAACACCAATTGAACACACATGATGGCTGCTCCCCAGACCAACCATTGTTTGAACATAGTCGCTCATTTGCCCCAATAATTGTATAATTAACGTTGCATGTATAAATGGCAATTGTTCCAAAAGTTGTTTTTGGTTTGCTAAGCTCAATTCGGCCATTTTCTAATTTGGGTAGTTCACCACAATTGATGTCTGCCAAAATTTGACTTTTTAAGTTATTAGTTATAATTAACTATATTAAATTAAATTTTAGATGTCCATTAAAGTATTTTAAGAGCTTATACGATTTCAAGCTATAAACAAGTAGAAGTCTTTTTTAAGATTTCGATACAACTATGTAGGTATTCGATATTTTTTTTTTTGTAATGTTTCTTACTAAACTTAATCGCGTGAAATTTGAGTATTGTATTTGGTATGTTTTTATGAGACAATAAAAATTTTAAGTATCTTTTTTAAGATCTGTTTCACAAAATGTTGTATATTTTATAACAACCTGTTCAACTAAATTAGGATGATAAACTTATACAAATATATTCCTCTTTGATTATCACTAAAACTTTTCTTGCTACATTTTGAAATGAATCAGAATTGTCCAAACGTTACTTGAGAAAATATTTGAAAAACAAATATGTATCCTTGTATGTATGTATATCCAAATATAAAAATTGAATCAAAATTTTGCGTGACTGAGACAATGCCGAGATGGTAATTAAGGTCAAAAGTTATCGGAATCTTTCTAGCACATGAAAAGAACGAAAATTTCTACATATGTATACTCGTACAAATTGTAAATGATGTAAAGCCTGTATATGTATATCGTACTTACTGATTTACTAGTTGCGCAAGAATTAGGCCGATCACAATTAAAAAAAGAGAAACTTTTATAAACAACTCTCTTGTCAAAGAGCACTGAATACAAGACACATCAAACTGTATCAGTCTTATTTTGCTAGACGCGTCGCAAAAATGGGTGAGATAAAATACTTGCTATTCTACTAGACGCGTCATAAAATGTGTGAGATGAAATATTTGCTATTCTAATAGACGCACGGCTAATAGATAATGTTATTTTGACGTTTTTTCGTCATACTTATATAGTCGCGTATTTTTGATCATATATAGTCGAGAGAAACATAAAAGTTTCTGAAACATATATAAAATTTATAGAAAATGGAGAAGATGTATGTATATACATAAGTATAATTACATATTTTAACAGCAATATTGAATAATTTTATCAATTCCAATGTAAAAATAACCCATTGGCAGCAATTAAAAATTTTCATCGAGTTGACGGGAATTAATTTTCTTCTTCCCTTTTACCTATGCTTTCACCCAAAAACCAAAAAACTTTCGGAGACTTCTTTCTTTTTCTAATTTACTATTTGTTATACTTTTTTCTGTCACCAGTTTATGAAAAATCAATTTTTTAATTTTTTAAAATCAAAAAATGTCGAGACTCGTATATAATGTAGTAAAATACAAAAAAAATTGACCTTGAAAATTGTGACTGTCTAGTAAAATAAGGCTGATTTATGTTCATATGTAGATTAAGTTTTGTCACTCAGATCTAATTATACTTACAACTGCAAGTGGGTGGTGTACCACTCCATAATCCGTTTTTAGTGCATTTCAATGTTTTTTGCCCAATCAATGCATTGTCTTCTAAACAATTAAAGCTAATTTCTTTTCCAATTGTGAAATTATGGCTACTTATAGTTGAATTCTGATTTAAAAGCGGAGACCCACAAGTGTAGGGCTCTAAAATTGCATGCATGCTTCAAAGCTTTCAAAACTTGACTGAATATATAATTACATACCATACTGGCAAATAAAGAGTAAATAATCCAAGTTACAACCTACATCGTTCCAAAGCCAGTTTCTGCCACCGTCAAGGACAACACAATTTTGCTCTCCGTTGTAGTTATTTGGTTGATCTTTACCCCAGGGTGGCTTAGAAATCGTGTTCCCTTGAAAGAATTCAAAAAATTTTCACTACATGTCATTTAAAATAAAACAAATTTCAAATTAAAAAAAATAATTGCAGAATGCGTTTGTACCTTCGATCCACTTCCATGATCTTGCAGTAATTCCTTCATCCTTTTGAGCACCAATCCAAATCAAATTTGTTTTTAATGTTCCTTTTCGTCGTTCTAGTACAGAGTTTACATATTTTGATGGTGATCCAAGAAAATTGTTTATTAAATTTCCGCCTAAGGATAATTTTTTTAAGAGAATATTCTAAAACTCAATACACAAAAAAAAGATACCGTTCCTCTTGCATATTTTTTGAGCTTCAGTAAATTTATTTCCTGAAGTTGTATGAAACTCATAGCATGTATTGGCAAATGTAGTAACATATGTGTCTGCGATAAAATTTGGGCGAATGCAACGATTTATTGGAATCGCACTTTCACTAAATATTTCCACCTCACATAAACTTAAACTGCTTTCTATACCAACTAATTGTATGAAAACATATTGTCCAACAGAAGCTCTTGCACATAAAAATGTTTTAGTTACTCCTTCCTCCAATGCGCCGGGAAACCAAGCGCAAAGTCGATTTTTCTGCAAATCTGAACTGTTTCCAACACGAATTTCTAAATCTTGCAATTGATATCCGCAGCAAGTTCTTGTAGTTATTCGTACAGCATTTATTATTTCTGGAACCAACAGATCAATTTGCCACCATGGTGATACTTCTTTCAGCGTTTCTGAGCATTCTTCTCCATCTGGATTCTACAAATTTAAAGTTATAAAATAAATTTTTATACGATTATCTTCCATATATGTATGTACATACATATGTACATATTAACAAAAATTATTTTTGTGTATGTATAGTCATTGAAAATAAAACTTTTAAAGCTCGTTGTATGCAACGTCACTTAATAACAAAATATTTTTTTTTATTTTAATTTTATTCTCTAATATTTCTAACGCAACAGAAATACTAACAGCCTGCTTGCTTCTATTGTACATGCTTTTCTTTAAACATCGTTTATTGAACGTAAATATATAATTGAAGCCAAAAATTAAAACTACGTCTCTTTCATATAACGGACTTTTGACTATTTTTATTTTTTCCAATTTCAATTTTTTTTTGCGGACAATTTATGTACAATTATGTATGAGACATCAAGATCTAGAAACTAATGTTACAATTAATTTTTATAAAAAGTAAACTTTTTTTTATTTTGGATATGTATACATATATGTGTATGTATGTATATTTTGAGAAATAAAATTTACGAAATGAAAAATAAAGAGTAATATTTTATCTTTAACAAATTATTTAATTCATCTAATTTTAATTGTTTTTATTTTCATTTGGTTGAAATTGTCAATTCCGTGTTTACCGTTTCTTTTACTAAAAAAATTATTGAATGATTATGAAAAATTTATGTATTTACATGTACATATGTACATAAGTAAACAGCAGATAACGTGCAGGTACATATTTATGAAATTTTTCATAAATATTTGAAAATGAGGGTATTCTTTTCGTAAGTATTTATTTCGTATAGTATTTCATATATGTATCTACAATCTTTCTAAATATGTATTGTGGAATCAAAAGAAAGTCCATTATATGTACATATATATGTATTACCATAAAATATTTCATCCCGAAAGTTTTAACACGTTTTTTGTTTACTTATATATGTATATGATACTAAATGTAATTTCACAATTTAATTATAAAAAATAATAAGTCGAAAGGTTTATTTTTTAAATATGTAAGTACACCATTGGATAGGTTTTTCTAAAAAATTTCAGATTTCGTAACAATACTCAAAGCACAAAACATTAGTGTATTAGTATGTATTTGTTCCGCATGTTACCTTATTTCCAAGCATCCCATCATTGGCAAATTTTGATGGACCCAATCTACTGCTAGAGCTTTGGTTGGTAGGTTTTCCAGTTGCAATGTTAACAGCACAAACAGAATTAAAATTGTCCCACCCCGTTTTTTCACTATATCGAATTACAGGTGAACCAAACATCTCATATCCAGGATCGCAAACATAATGTGCTTCAGGTTTACCATTACTTTCAGTTAAATTTTTTATTATAGCATTTTTTGGAACTGGGGGGGTTCCATAGGCTAAAATAAAAATTTGTTTTTTAAAACTATTTTCTCTATTGTGCAAGTTTTAAATAATGTTTTTTTAAATCACTTAATATTGTTACTGAAAATATAGAACTCGCTTACAATTATTTTAATCTAATAATAATGGTTCATAAATAAAAAGTGGATTTTTTTTTGTAAGTACATATCTATGTACATATGTGTATCTGAAATAAAATTTTGAAAAGAGAAGAATATAAAATAAAACCAGGTAGTCTGAAAAGTAGTCAATTGTTTATAAAACAAGTAAAAACGTTTCAGTCGGTACAAACTGATTGAATGATACTGTGCACCTTTCGTTGTTGTATAGCAAATGCTCAAACCTGAGAAACCATTATATAGAGACTTCGAGGATATGTCTGGCCTATAACTGGACACTAACCGCCAAGTTTCATGAATCTGACTTTACTCCTTTTCCAAATAATTAAATTAAGCTTTTGGACTTGTATGGGAGCTACTCAAACTTGTCACGCAATTCAACCAAAAGTTCAGAAATATACTTCACCTAAACCAAAACTTCAGAAATATGTCTGACCTATAACTGGACACATAACTGCAAATTTTCATGAATCTGACTTTATTATTTTTCCAAATATTTAAAATTAGCTTTTGGAGTTGTATGGCAGATACCCGAACTTGTCTAGCAATTCCACTAAAACTTCGCAAATATATTTGATCTATAATTTGATACACAACCGCCAAGTTTCATGAATCTGACTTTACTCTTTTTCCAAATATTTAAAATTAGCTTTTGGAGCTGCATGGCAGGTACCCGAATCTGTCAAGCAATTTCACTAAAACTTCAGAAATATATCTGACCTATAATTGGATACATAGCTGCTAAGTTTCATGAATCTGACTTTAGTATATGTCTACTTTAGAATCTGACTTTTGTCGAATATAAAAAATTTGCTTTTGGAGCAAATCCCATTAAGATCTTAAGTGCATGCGTTATAGAATATAATTGGACACATTTATACAAAATTTTATATTTATGCCTTGATTAGTTGATGAAATATTTAAAATAAACTCTTTGAGTTGTATGGCAGCTATCCGAACCCGTTGTCCGAATTAGTCCAATTATAATAGGGTTCCTCCTTGGCACAAAAGAAGCAATTTGTGAAAGTTTGGTGTCGATTGCATTATTCGTTTTTTAGTTATCGTGCGATCGGACGGACAGACGGACGGGCGGACATGTCTAAATCAACGCAGAATTTTACGCTGAGCAAGAAGTTACAAAATCCATACCAAGGTTATATACCCTTCACGAAGTGCAGGATATAAAAAACAAGTAAAAACGTTTCAATCGACCATATTAACTGACTAAATATACCCCGCAACTTTTACTGTTGTATGGCAATTACCTGAACCATTGAAACTATTTTACAGAAACTTCACTGATAAATCCGTCCCATTAAAATTTTTGGAGCTTAGGTAGACAGTAATTGGACACATGTGTACAAAATTTTATATTTATATCTTAATAATGTTTAAAATATTTGAAATAAACTATTTGAGTTGCATGGCAGCTACCCGAACCTGTTGTCCGAATTGATCCAATTACAGTAGGGTTCGTCCTTGGCACAAAAGAAATTACTTGTGAAAGTTCAATTGTATTTCTCTCATTCGTTTTTGAGTTATCGTGCGGTCGTATAGGCGGACGGACATGTCTAAATTAACGCAGAGTTTTATGCTGAATAAGAATATATATATGTGTCCATACCGGAGACGACTCATTCAAGTGGTTACAAACTCCATACCTAAGTTAATATACCCTTCGCGAAGATGCAGGGTAGTCATGTGTCGTTCGCGAACGAACTAATCTTAAAGAACGAATCACTTCACTGAACTTAGCTGATTAGTTCACTTCTTCAAAAATGAATCGTTCATCGTTCACCAAGAATTCCAATTCTCGTTTTTAGTTATAAAAAAAAAATATTTTTTCTCATTTCTTTCTGTATTAATATTACACAATACAAATAAAATTGAACGACATACGAAATAACGCATATGCAATACCAAAGTATATCTACTAATAAGTATTTCGACTCGTTCCATTCCGTTAGTTTTCGTTTGCATCTTGCTTCCAAATTCTTAAAATATTCCATTTTTTTGTAGAAATAGATGGTAATAAGAGTTGTGTAGGCAAGAAAGAAACAAAATATTGTAAACAAACGAGTGTATCAAAAACATTGAACTAAAATAAAATTAAATTAAGTTAGGTAAAAATTTTGTTATTACCGACCGTATTGTGTAAACAATAGGTAGGTTATGTGATGGCAATAAATTTTGCATATTGAGTTTTCGGCGGGAACGTACTTCTCCATAGTAGGGAAGTGTAAATAAACTATTTTTAGCAACCTGTCGGTCTGTCGGTCTGTGTGTGCACACGTGTATCTCAAGTTCTGCTGAACCGATTTTGATGAAATTTTATATGTAAGTTTATTTCCACCGTGGCACGGATTGATCAACTTTTGGTATATATCAGGCCTCGGGAACTGCACTTTTTAGCGGGCCTGTTTTACATTTTTGAACATTTTGAAGAAAATATTCAACCGATTTACTTGAAATTTTATATATAGGCTCAGCTCCACCGTCCGCGAAAATTTCTATGTTTTGGAAAAAATCAGGCATCGGCAACTAGACATTTACTACGGGCCAAATACACATTTTTGTATATATAAAGAGAAATAATCAACCGATTTCAGTGAAATTTAATATATGAATTCCTCGCATTAAAACAATGAACATGTAAATTTTTTGGAAAGATCAGGGCTCGAAAACTGATCTGCGGGCCGATTTTACATTTTTCACCATATCTACGGAACGAATTGATGGAATTTCTTGAAATTTGATATTTGAGTTCTAGTTGTTACCGAAACTAACTGGCGAGCATTTCAGGGAATTCGGGTAGCACAAAGCGAAACTCTACTAAGAGCCAAATTTACATTTTTCTAGGTATGTTAACTATAAGCTTACTAATATATTAAATTATATATTATATATGGGAAATACATTATTTATGGGAAATATGTTCTAAATTTATTAAGATTGAAATGAAAATAAAAAATTTAAAGATAATTTATTTATTTTAGTTATTAATTACAAATGCCTAACACTAAATATTTAAAATATTTTCAAAAGTACATATTTACCTCTTCACATCTTTGGGCAACAAATGAAATTTTCGTGTCGGCTTTTTTTCATCCCAAACACTTCAAATAATGTTTACCAGTTTTTATAAAAAAAATATTTTTTTCACAACTATTTAAATTTTTTTTTACTATTACATCTTTTCAAAATTTATTTTTATTATTTGTAAAAATTATAATAATTTTTTTAAACACTTTTTTTCTTCTTCGCTTTTATAATATAATACACATTTTTTGCCACCTTGTACTGGAATGAATTACAGAAATTATTGTGTCGCTTTTAAAATTCTTAATATTTTTCCCTATACTTTATATACAAGCAAATAATAAAGTGTCGCCTTTCAAAATACATTATAAAAAAACAGATTGACATCTATTGCGTACTTTTTTCCTCTCCATAAAATTCTTTTGTGTATCAAAATGAAAATAAGAAGGTACACTGGTTAACTCTTTTAACTAAGGGAATTTTTTGTATACGAATATTGGTGAGTGATTGCATTAGTGTGATGTAAACGGAGAGTCGAACTACTTATTGTAGATATACTTTGATGCAATACTTATAAAAACGAACGATATACTCCAACATGGAACATTGATAAAAGCGAACGAGAAGGAAAATAAATTAAATATTATACACAAAAAAGTGACCGAATCAATTGTCAATATGAATACAATACAAGTAAAATTGAACAATATACTAAATTCAATACAAATAAAAACGAACGTAATTGAAATTTTATTTTATACAAATAAAAGTGCCCAAATCAAAAATCTACCTAAATAAGAAAATTGAAAGATTGGACTAGTTGATTCAAATTGAAAGCTGGGTGAAATAAAAAAATAGGATGTATTAAACTGGGCTACCCTTCAATTTTATGCAAAAAATATTTAAAAAATGATAATAATTATGATCGCTTTTTTACTAAATATTTTAAATAAAAGAAAAAACTAAAAAAAAATTAATCATTATAAGTTCACATTCTAACCCATTAAGGATAAAAGGTTAAAGAAAATTAAACAAAAGTTTAAAAAAATTAGAAAAGAAATTCAGTTTTTTTCGAGGATTAAAAATAAAGATAATTACAATTATTTTTATTCTATAAATTTCTTATAAATAATAAATTTAAGCTTAAATGGTTTAAAATTGTTATTTTTTGAAATTTAAGAAATTATTTATAATGTTTTGTAATTTTTTAAGTAAAAGTTTTCAAGTAAAAGTTTTAAAACTACGTTTTAAACTTTTTGGTTTATATAAGTAGACATTTTGTGGTTCTAAACTTATTGCTAATTTGCAAAACCCATTACATATTCTTTTCTTCAAAATTTACCATAAATACGTATATCCATATAATTATAACCAAAAAACATGTAATTATATGTACAGAAGACAAATGAACGAAATGAGCGATTGAACGAGTCCTTATAATCAGTCAGTGAAAGAAAATAGTTCGTTCTGGCCCATGACTAGTGCATTGCCCATGACTAGTGCAAGGTATAAAAAACTCTATGCATATTTCTTCCGTTATAATTTTTAAGTGTTTTCAAATGATAAAACCAATTTATGAGTACATATATTGGAACTTGATATCTATTGAACTTTTCGGAAAAGATTCTAATGAGTAATTGATAACTCTTTTAAAGTTGTAAATTTAACCGACACCGTTACTATTTTCAACATTTTTGAATATTGACAAACATTGAATAACATGTATTTCTGAATAACATGATATTCAAAAATATAATGTTATTCAGAAATACCCTAGATTTTTGAGGACACTAACCTTTAGAAAATAGAAAAGTTAATCATCAGGCAAATATGACTGA